AACCCTTCCCTCTACTATCCAAAGCCGGCATTAATGCATACAAGGTTGGAGTTACCCGGTCCTGTTCAACATCTTTATTAATGACTTAGATGAAGGGCTAGAAGGCAGGATCATCAAGTTTGCAGACGAGACCAAATTGGGAGGGATAGCCAATACTCCAGAGGACAGGAGCAGGATTCAAAACGATCTTGACAGATTAGAGAGATGGGCCAAAACTAACAAAATGAAGTTCAACAGTGACAAATGCAATATACTCCACTTTGGCAGGAAAAATGAAATGCAAAGATACAGAATGGGGGATGCCTGGCTCAAGAGCAGTACGTGTGAAAAAGATCTTGGGAGTCCTCGTGGACAACAAGTTAAACATGAGCCAACAATGTGATGCGGCGGCAAAAAAAAGCCAATGGGATTTTGGCCTGCATCAATAGGAGCATAGTGTCTAGATCTAGGGAAGTCATGCTACCCCTCTATTCCGCTTTGGTTAGACCACACCTGGAATATTGTGTCCAATTCTGGGCACCACAATTGAAGAGAGATATTGACAAGCTGGAATGTGTCCAGAGGAGGGCAACTAAAATGATCAAGGGTCTGGAGAACAAGCCTATGAGGAGCGGTTTAAGGAGCTGGGCATGTTTAGCCTGAAGAAGAGAAGGCTGAGAGGAGATATGATAGCCATGTATAAATATGTGAGAGGAAGCCACAGGGAGGAGGGAGCAAGCTTGTTTTCTGCTTCCTTGGAGACTAGGACGCGGAACAATGGCTTCAAACTACAAGAGAGGAGATTCCATCTGAACACGAGGAAGAACTTCCTGACTGTGAGAGCCGTTCAGCAGTGGAACTCACTGCCCCGGAGTGTGGTGGAGGCTCCTTCTTTAGAAGCTTTTAAACAGAGGCTGGATGACCATCTGTCAGGGGTGATTTGAATGCAATATTCCTGCTTCTTGGCAGGGGGTTGGACTGGATGGCCCATGAGGTCTCTTCCAACTCTTTGATTCTATGATTCTATGAAATGTATGTGTTTCAACTTACAAACAAAATCAACTTAAGAACAAATCTACAGAATCTATCTTGTTCGTCACTTGAGGATATAGCTTTAAAATACCTATACCAATTGACAACAAATCTCCAAGTTTTCAGATTGCAGTCTTCACTTGTCCCACCTAGATTTGCTAGTGTTGGAACCAGGCCTGTCCTACATGTATTTTCCCACCAGGGTGACATGCAATGTGACAGTAGTACATAACTTTGCCTCCAAGCTGACAATTCAATCATAGGGTGGAGTTCCAACACCTTTCTCATAGGTTAAGATACTGTGCCTTGTCCAAAGTCACCCAGGAGGTTTCCATAGCTGAGTCTCCTGCAGCCCTATAGTACTACAACACTCAAACCACTACAGCACAACAACACTCTAGTACAGTGGTTCTCAACCTGTAGGTCTCCAGATATTTTGGCCTTCAGCTCCCAAAAATCCTAACAGCTGGTAAACTGGTTGGGATTTCCGGGAGTTGTAGACAACACACCTGGGGACCCACATGTTGAGAACCATTGCTCTAGTATTTAGCTACAGGTGTTCACTTTGTAGCAGCTGGGAACTAGATCCTAAATTTAAGTTACTACAATGTAACTGCTGCTCCTTTGTGATACAAACATTTATATCAGCATAGTATCTCAAGATTTTCAAAACTGGAAATAACATGATTTGTCTGCTTTTCTTTCCACATGTTTAATTCAAATTTATGTGCACAGAAACTTAAATTGAAGTTGAGTGAAATTAAAATTTGCAGTAGAACCAGCTTAAGAAAAACACCAGCATTGTTATGTAATGAAAGATGATTTAACTTTTCACTAGGTGAAAAAATGTTTTGGACTGGCAAATTTAAATCTAAGCTGGGTCAGCTCCATCTCTTGTGCTCTAAAGCAGAGCAATAACTCTATTTGGGGTGCTTCTCTCATGTAGTGTCTCAATCATAACTACTGAAACTCATATCCTCAAATCTATATAAATAAAAATGTAATGTTCGTTTGTGGGATTAACATAACTCAAAAACCAATGGACGAATTGACACCAAATTTGGACACAAAACACCTATCAGCCAACAAGCGACCATCACTCATAAAAACACTGAAAAACACAGAAGCCAAAAAACAAAAAATACACTACAGTGCATGTGCAAAACCACATATATATATACGCAAACACACATATATACACACACACATCTATATACACACAAAACACATATACACAGACTGGGCCACAGCAACGCATTTAAATCTTGCTGCAAAAGACAACATTTTTTGGGGGATGGCTAGTATACTATAAATGTATTTTGATGAAGTTTACAAGCCAGAATGAAACATGAAATATATTCAACCAAGGATGCCTGATAACAGCTTTCAGAATATTCAGTTAAATAATTATCTGAGATCCCTTACACCAGAGATAATTCAACTAACTTTTAGGGTTTAAGGGCATAATTTGGAAACTCAATTCTTACTATATGCATAATAATATTTAATACAAAAATTATCATATTCCAGGGCTCTCGTCTGATAACAAAGGCAGAATTCAACCAAAAGAAACCCAAGATGTGCCAAAACCAGTTTACTTAAATGACTTAAAACACTGAGACTTTCTTTTCAGGGGTTGACTACAGAATGGAAATAAAGCACACAGCTGAGGTAATACAAAACAAAGTCCCAGGATACAAAAGGCACAATCTGTAGTCAGGATTCCAAAATCAAGTCAGGAAAGTAGAGTAAACTAATGTTCAAAGGTACTAACCAATATTCAAGTCCATTACTCAAGACATGAAGTCAGTTCAGAGTCCAAATACAAGGTTTCAAGGTTCAGCAGAGTACAAGACGGGATCACAGGAATAAGGTACCAAGAACCAACCCAGAGATAACAACTAAGACACAGGTCCCAGAGCTCAACATTACTGTTCCCAAAGAACAATATCTTGCAGGCATCTTTTTATGCAGAGATTCTTAGCTGCAGTTCATATCAGCTGGCCTTCATCAATAATCTTTGCAGCCTGTGAACATTACAGGCTGCTGGAAAGGAAGGTCAACTTGACCTCTTCCAAACAGAAAAGTGAAAAGAGACAGGATTATATTTGGTTAAGTCCTCAAATTTTCCTGATATTTTTCCTCCAAAAATAACCAAACAATTCCACAAGAACACAAAACATGAAAGAATAACCACTAGAAAATGATTTTTTAAAAAAGAACAAACAGAATTTATATAAACAATTGAGTGAAAAAGTGCTATTCTTAAACACTGCTAACAGATTCCAATCTGAGAAATCAATGTAGACATGAAAATAACTACACATTTAAGACTGATTCAAGAAAAAAAAATCTGACAACTTTTAAGATGCAAATTAACATGAAACAGGTAAATTTTCCAATATTAGAGAATAGCAGAATCACAATATATGTTTAAAGATGTAGACAAACTAAGATCTTCTGACACAAAACAAATAATGCTAGAAATTGGGGATCCGTCATTTTTAGGAACGCACCCTTTCCCTGTTTTGTGGCTTGGGGACAAGAAGAGAGAGGAAAGTATGGAGAAAATGCTGAATATGAGTCTGAAGTGTGTAAAAAAAAGGAAACTGTTTTTAAGTTGTTAGAAGATTGCTTTGGTTGTGTCAATATTTTTTTGAAGTCTGAACCAGGAACTTTCTCCTCTTCTACAATAATGATGATGATAATGATGATGATAATAATAATAATAATAATAACAACAACAACAACTTTATTTATACCCCGCCACCATCTCCCCAAGGGACTCGGAGTGGCTTACATGAGGCCAAGCCCAACATAAATAAAAACAACAAGCAATAAGCAAAATAAACAATACAATTAATATAACTCACACAAAGAAGTAGATTGTATTGAAAAAAATATTTTAAAATTAAAAGCAAAGTAAAAGGACTTATGTTCCCAAAGCAGATCCATGCTGCTTGGAGCAGCACAGAATAAGAGCAAAACACACAGTATAGTAAAAATTTTCAGTTTTATGAGGCTTTAAAAGTCATAACTGAAAATTACAGACTGTCTACATTAAACAATTATATAACCTGTAATTATGAATTACAATTTTGGAAGATATGTAAAAGTAAATAAACGTATTATATTCTGTATCTTGTTCCACATAGTTCTGGCAACTGAATCTATGCTGGATTTTTTAAAATGTAGTGGTATTTTGTTATCATAATTTTGATCAGTATTATTATTATTATTATTAACTTTATTTATACCCCACAAAATCTCCTGAAGGACTCAATGAGGCTCACAAAGGCCAAGGCCGCCGCCAACAACAAAATACAAATATCACAGTAAAACTCATAAGCAAATAATAAACATCAAGCAAAACAATAAAACACTAAAAACAATGACATCATGACGCATTTAAAACCTAAGGCCGGGCCAAATGTGATGGACAGAATTTAAAAGTGCTGAACTTGACAGGAGGTATGTAGAGGTTTTTGGAGGTAGGTGCAATGTGCAGGCAATCCTAAAACTTATTATTATTATCAGTGACGTTTTCACAAACCTAAGACATTTTTATTTCCTTGTTATTTTGCATATATTTTTGAAACTTGCTTTCTCTATAGCACATATGTGATTTCTATTTGAATAGGCAAGGGAGAGCAATAAGACTGGACCCAATGAAGTATTGTTACCTAATTAATTTTTGGTACCAGAACAAATCTACATTTTAAAAACAGTGTAAGAAACTATTATGGAATCAGTCAAGTCTCCACAGAACTGAAAAGTAAAGAGACACTAAAGAACAAGTTACTGGCAGAATAGCACCTTATAAATAAGTGTATGGAAAAAAAGGATTTGACAAAACAAACAAGAATGACAATAAAGGCATATTTTTCCAGGGTGGTCTCTTATGAAGATGCATTAACCACATTAAAAGTGTAAGGTTATGGAAATGTGTAACTAATGTGGAGTTAATGAAAGGCAGGGCTGTCATTCACCTGAGCAGATGGTGGAAGAACCTCCTTGCGTATCTGCTGATCTGGTCCCTGTATTCCAGCACCGTTGTCTCGGCCAGAGGCCTTCTTGGCACGTAGAAGGTCCCGAGGGTGGCCTCAAGCTGTGCTGTGGAGTTCAAACACAACAGCCGTGGAACAAGATCAGCTTCACACAAGAAATTGCTCATGTTTGCAGTCAGGCAGGTTTTTCAAGCGCAGACAAAATATGAACTTATTGCCGGGCAGATGAAATAAAAATGTGACAGCTACTATAAAAACAAATCAGTGTATAAGCAATCATTTGAGGTAGGGCTGATGATGAGGCGGAGCAGCAACAACAAAAAGCTGTCAGAAGCTTAGAAAAACCCTTGGATTTCTAATTACTTGCAAGTAGCAACAACTCATCAACATGATAAAATTTGAAAATAAAAAAATTAACCCCTAGTTTACATTTTGGGCTACTTTTTGATTGTTAGAAAGAATTCAAAAAGTCACAAATTCTCCACTGTGCCATAGGTTGATGGGTGAGGAGCTTTTTCTTGTGATGGCCCCTCGGGGAATGGAAGATGCCTTAACACGCACTTCACCACACCTTCAGAATTATGCAGGCACAACCCCGGGTGGCTTGTGTTGTTACCAGATGAACATTGTCGTGATGATATGTAATTGCTACTTTCCAAAGAATGTCTGTTTTAAGTACTTCCTAACCGACAGTAATTTCTCCTCAAGCATTTAATAAATATAATGTCCAATATGCATTTTGTTCTGGGCAGAAATATTTTAAGATTTCATACAGAAGCCTGGAGTTTTCTATTGACAGCTGAAGGGCATAGAAGACAGAACTCTAAAAGCAGAACGGGCTCTTCCTGCTTTTGGGTAAAAATACATGTTTTGAACTACAAATCTTGCCGGGATTCATAAAAGACTGTAAATCCCAGATCGTACATATTTGCATCCATAGTGTCATCTTGGGATATTTCTACACTGGAGTCCCATTCCCCCACCCCTACCCCACTCCAGTAATAATTCAATTTTTCATTTGTTCATTCCTAATCGGTTTTAAGGGTTTTACCTGTTTATTTTTCATACTGTTAATAGTTAATTCTATTTTAATATTAATATATGTTACGATTTAAAATTTTGTATTGGTTTTGTATTGCTTTGAATCTCCTTTTTGGTAGGAAAAGTGGGATATAAATAATAACAACAACAACAACAACAGCAACAACTCTGGCACAGACTCCGGCACAAGCCAGTCAAGGTAGTCCCAGTGATGATCGGCACACTGGGTGAAGTGGCTAAAGACCTTGGTCTGCACTTAAACACAATTGGCGCTGACAGGATTACCATCTGCCAGCTGCAGAATGCCACCTTACTGGGATCTGCATGCATTATTCACCAATACATCACACAGTCCTAGATACTTGGGAAGTCACCGACGCGTGATCCAATACAACAGCCAGCAGAGTGATCTTGTCTGCTGTGGACTCATCTTTCAAAGAATAATAATAATGTCAGAGTTTTATATTGTTTAGGTCATTTCTTAAGTGAAAAAATGGGTAAGTGATTGTAAGAATCATGTCCAATCATTGTATGGCCAGCAACAATCAAGCCACCTGTGGGAGTTGAAGTACTACTACTAGAGACTAAGTACATTGTGTTACTCGAGGCTGGAAATAGGTTGGAGAAAGGTTGAAGATTGGAAAGAGAGTTTGGAGCTCAAGGCTGGAGTTGCTGAAGGTATATTATCGTTACAACGTCTGAAGAGCAAGACTGTGATGTCTTATCTGGAGATAAGAMCTTTGTGTTTGCAAGCCATTGTGTGGAAGCAGCTGAATATTCTAAGGGCACTGYTTTATTTGTAAATACCGTCATATAAATATTTCTTTGCTAAAAGACAGTTTGTTTTTGTTGGGTTTTTCCTCCTTGGATGAAGGGCGCAACTTCCGCAGAAGGGGTTGAATGTTTGGAACCCCAGTTTGATAGCTGCGACAAATAATAATAATAATAATAATAATAATAATAATAATRATRATAATGATGATGATGATCTGGACCAAACCTGGCACGGATACTCAATGTGCTCAAATGTGAACACTGGTGGAGTTTGGGAGGAAATAGACCTTGACATTTGGGAGTTGTAGTTGCTGGGATTTATAGTTKACCTACAATCAAAGAGCATTCTGAACCCCACCAACAGAATTGGGCCAAACTTCCCACGTGGAACCCTCATGACCAACAGAAAATACTGTTCAATGTATTGTCGAAGGCTTTCATGGCTGGGATCACTGGGTTGTTGTAGGTTTTTCCGGGCTATATGGCCATGTTCTGGAGGCAATTTTTCTCCTGACATTTCGCCTGCATCTATGGCAAGCATCCTCAGAGGTAGTGAGGTCTGACCTCACTACCTCTGAGGATGCTTGCCATAGATGCAGGCGAAACGTCAGGAGAAAAATTGCCTCCAGAACATGGCCATATAGCCCGGAAAAACCTACAACAACCCAGAAAATACTGTGTTTTCTTATGGTCTTTGGTAACCCCTCTGGCATCTCCTCGCGACCCCCCCAGGGGTCCCAACCCCCAGGTTGAGAAACGCTGGTCTAAGATATCCTAAGCTAAGCCATACAAATGACATTCAAATGCAAAGGAAATGGAACAGATAAAATTCCCTTTCTTCCTTTAAGTGCAAATACAATTTGATTTGAGAAAGACATGTTTCTTTTAAGATGGGCAATTTCAATTTTAGGTAATCAAAGTTTTGTTAAGTGCTTTAAAGGAGGGGACATAAATCTCTCCATTTTGCTACTATGAATGTTTGTTTGAACTATGTATTTCTGCATTTAGTGATAATTATCCCTTAGTTCCAAACAAAGCAAGACTATTTAATGCAGGCCAGAAGGCGCTAATAGTTGAGTGGTATGAGTACAAGCAACATGTTAGTAAATTGGGTTTTGAAATATCTTAAATCTAAACAGTGAGATAAGCTGAACTTCCAAGGTGTTTTCTTTCAAAAGCATTAAATCAATTTCGATTAAAATGTAATGCAACATGTTGTTGCAAAAAAAAAAAGCCACACTCTCTTGCTGTTGCTGTTTTCCTTACAGCCCATTTTGCACCTCTGAAATGTCCCAGCCTACATAGAATACAAGTACTAGCACAGTTATAGATTCATTAGATATCTCAGCTTGATGTTGATGGCAGAAATGAAGATCTCAAAGATAACCGTCACATCATTCCAAATGAAAGGGCTCTGCGAAAGAAAACAAATTACCATGACAGATTTGTTAGACCTCTTTAGAATAAATCCCGGATGGCAAAAAAGCAGTTGTTTATTACAAAGCAACATTAGCCAGGTTGCATGGAGGGAGAAGCGGAGAAGATAACTATATGTAATGCACATATTCTAAATTGAAGTTTCACAAAATGCCTCCCTTTTTTCTTTTCACTTTTCTACTGTGCATTTTCAGAAGTTTTCTAAGAGGAGATTTTGACCTTGTCTATTGCTCCAGTAAAGGTTATGGTAATCCACCTTGTCTCTCACACAGTAGTGCAGGGATTGCCTGCCTCGGCCTGATGGCCCAGGAGCAGGCTTGGGAAGCAAGCAATTTCTGTAAGATCGGCTGTTCCCCACATCCTCTCGCACACTGCCTACGTCCCACAAAACGAAGAGCTTGGTGCTCAGCTGCACCTGCATGCTGAGACATGGCATGAAGCTTTCCTGCTTAATCTAAATCCTGGGAATAGCTCCGTTCTCTCACACACGGCTATTCACTGGAGAGTGATCCCAACAGGGTCCAGCCGAGATGAGCCTGAGCCTTGAATTGATCTGTTAATCTAAGGAGGTTTCAGACGTCAATGTAGGCTACAGGAGATAACAGTAAGATGGGGAAACAGACTTTGAGGGCATTCACCAAGAAATATGTGAAGTTGATGCATTTCATTGTCACTTGCCTCTGGAAAACAAAAACACACTAACTAAATAAAAGGGACAGCCTTAATGGGTTTTTTGATCCACTTACATGATAATAAATCCTGTTCTGTTTCTTTCTCAATTATGCTTACAGAAATTAAGAAATTCTCCGTGGTGGCCCCCCGACTCTGGAACTTTCTCCCCAAGGACATCAGACAAGCCCCAACATTGGCAGTCTTTAGGAAGAGCTTGAAGACGTGGTTGTTCCAGTGTGCCTTCCCATAATAGGAAACTCCAAGCATCATGTCCCAAATGCACTTTACTAGAGATTTAAGATTGTCTGCACACCGCACCTATCTCCAAAACCCTATCTATTTCACCTGTCATGTCCAGCATTTTTTAAAATTTTGATCATTACATTTGGCCCAGCCTTAGTTTTAAATGCGTCGTGGTGTTATTGTCTAATGTTTATTGCTATTATTTTAATGTTTATTGCTTGTTTTATGAGTTTTATTTATTGTTGTATTTGTTATGCTGTTGTTTTATTGATGTGTTGGGCCTCGGCCTCTTGTAAGCCGCACCGAATCCTTCGGGAGATGTTAGTGGGGTATAAATAAAGGATTATTATTATTATTATTAAATTAATATTGCTAAACAGAAATAAATTTAACTACTATTTCTGTTGATTTGATAGCTTAGTGTCTACCTTCCGTAATTCTTATGAGCTAGGATAGGGGTCCTCAAACTAAGGCCCGGGGGCTGGATACGGCCCTCCAAGGTCATTTACCCGGCCCTCACTCAGGGTCAACCTAAGTCTGAAACAACTTGAAAGCACACAACAACCACCACCACCACCACCACAACAACAACATAGAATCATAGAGTTGGAAGAGACAACAACAACAACAACATAGAATCATAGAGTTGGAAGAGACCTCATGGGCCATCCAGTCCAACCTCCTGCCAAGAAGCAGGAATACTGCATTCAAAGCACCCCTGACAGATGGCCATCCAGCCTCTGTTTAAAAGCTTCCAAAGAAGGAGCCTTCACCACACTCCGGGGCAGAGAGTTCCACTGCTGAACGGCTCTCACAGTCAGGAAGTTCTTCCTCATGTTCAGTCTCCATCTCATCAGCCAAAAGCAGTCCACACTTCCCATTGAAATACTAATAAGTTTATATTTGTTAAAATTGTTCTTCATTTTAATTATTGTATTGTTTTTAAGTTTTTTTGCATTACAAATAAGATATGTGCAGTGTGCATAGGAATTCATTCATTTTTTTTCCAAATTATAATCCGGCCCTCCCTGGCCCTCTGTTTAAAAAGTTTGAGGACCCCTGAGCTAGGACAAAAAAGAAACCCTTGTGTAAGTACTGATTGAGTTGTGAGGTATTTCGGATTTCTTTGAGAATCCCAATATATTAAAGGTTAGGATCAGAACAAGAGGATTTAATATAACTTCTTTTTTTCTGACCCCTGTGAGCAGCCCCACAAATGGAACCAAACTACTGAAAATAGGATGCATTTTTACTTCACCGAAAAAATGGCATAGGACTTATTTTACCCCACTACTAACAGGGACTTTTTTTTTAGTTTCGTGAGAAAGCAATTGAGATTCACACACACTTTTTGTCCTGTCTGTTTTTGATTTGTAAAAACTTTATATTGCAGCTGTCTGAAATTTGATGGAATTGTTTACAACTTTTCAGGCAACAATGCAAATGAATGTCTACACTGCAAGTTTAAAATGTGTGGGGACTCTGCAACAAAATGTCTACAAACTAAAAAGTTCTGTCCTTATTCATGATGGTTAACAGTATCTGCACTGATTTATTTTTATATCCATCCTATCTCCTTGTACAGGATCTAAGGTATTCTACAAGCAGTTAAAAATAAGGTACAGCTAAATATAGGGTTGTGGTGGTGCAGTGGGGTTAAACCACAAAGCTCCAGAACCTGCTGACTGAAAGGCTGGCGGTTTGAATCCAGGGAGGAGATGATCTCCCGCTGTTAGCCCCAGGTTCTGCCAACCTAGCATTTTGAAAACATGCAAATGTGAGTAGATCAATAGGTACTGCTTCAGTGGGAAAGTAACAGCACTGCATGCAGTCATGCCAGCCACATGACCTTGGAGGTGTCTACGGACAACGCCGGCTCTTCGGCTTAGAAATGGAGATGAGCACCACCACCCAGATTTGGATATGACTAGATTTAATGTCAAAGGAAAATCTTTACCTTTACTTACAGCTAAAAATATTTGTACTGGAGGTAAACATAATTAAATAACAGTTTGATTAACAACACAAAGTGAAAACAATATAAAACACAATTAAAATATACCATAACTCCAATGAAAGCTTTATCTACCACATAAATTATAAATCAAAGTGTTGCTAGACAGAAGTAAAGGAGGGAAGGGGTCAACTAAACCTCCTGTAGGAAGGAAATCCATAATTTGAGTTTAACCAGTGAAACATCACCTGTTGAAAAATCCCTATTTGTATGCTACTTTTTGACCTTTGTAGAAAGATAAACATAATGCCTAACACAAAACATTTTAAATATAAAACTATCTGTTCAAAGTAAATGCCATTAGTTTAATTAATTTAAAATTAGAAATGTGAGAGACAGCACAACCAACCTTCTCTTTCGCCAGTCAGCTTTTCCCTCAGGAGGTAGTTTACTATGGCACTTAGGCTTACAAAGCATTGTTCACCCATTGTGTTCCAGTTCATGCCACTCAGTATATTAATTGCCTCATGAATTTCATCTTGATGAATATACTCCTGGATCATTGCTATAAGGCCAAAATGACCTCTGGGGATGACACCTGTCCCAAGAGAAAAACAAAACCATAGAAATCATCACCTTCGTCCAACAAAGGTAAATGTTCAATGTCCTCTTCACATATATAAAATCAAATAAAAATCCACATTGAATCGGAATATATGGCAGTGTGGACTATGATAACCCACTTCAAAGCAGATATTGTAGATTATCTGCCTCGATATTCTGCGTTATATGGCTGTGTAGAAGGGCCCTGAGATGGCACTGACCCTGGGAGCACACAACTCCTCTGTTGCGTCAGCTCCACTGGCTGCCTGTTTGCTTCCGGGCACAATTCAAAGTGCTGGCTTTAGCCTATAAAGTCCTACACAGTTTTGGTCCAACTTACCTATCTGAACATATCTCTCCTTATGAACCATTTAGGACCTTAAGATCTTCTGGAGAGGCCCTGCTCTCGATCCCGCCTTCTTCGCAGATGCATTTGGTGGGGACGAGACAGGGCCTTCTCAGTAGTGGCCCCTTGACTGTGGAATACCCTGCCTAGAGATATAAGATCGGCTCTCTCCCTCCTGACTTTTTGAAAAATGGTGAAAACCTGGCTTTTTGAGCAGGCCTTCCCAAATATGGCATAGCTAAACGGAATTATGGAACTACTTGATAATTTACTTATTGGATTACCCCAACCATGGACTCCCAAAAACACAGACAAATTGGGACCTGGTAAAGAACTATCTTAAACAACTAAAGATAGACTTAATAATATGACTAAATAAATACTCACAAGAAGACTAGTAACTGCAGGGATTTTTTTTACTCTTTAAAGGGACCGACAATAATGAACTCACAACCACCAAAGAATAGAAGGAAGTCAAACCATTTCTACTTTTTGAACTTTTTTTCTTTCTTTTTCCCTACCCTATTTTCTGTATTTTTTGCAGTAGCTCATTTCCTACTTTTCTATCTTCTTCACAATATTCCCCCAGTTTCCTTGAAATAAAATACTTTTTTTCAATAAAAATCATTTGGCAAGGAACTACTTGATAACGCAACGGAATAACCATTTGACATGGAGACGCTCACGATGTTTTAAGGCTTTGTATGGTTTATATATATTTTATATCATATGCTATTGTTTATAACATAATTTATTGATTGTTTTTAATTGTTATAATTGTTGAGGCATCGAATTGTTGCCACTTTGTGAACTGCTCCGAGTCGCCTCTGGGCTGAGAGGGGCAGTATATAAATATAGTAAATAAAATAAATAAATAACCCCCTTCTAGTTGTAGATCAGCGTTTCTCAACCTGGGGGTCGGGACCCCTGTGGGGGTCATGAGGGGACGTCAGAGGGGGTCACCAAAGACCATCAGAAAACACTGTATTTTCTGTTGATCATGGGTGTTCTCCGTGGGAAGTTCGGTCCAATTCTATTGTTGGTGGTTCAGAATGTTCTTTGATTGCAGGTGAACTATAAATCCCAGCAAATACAACTCCCAAATGTCAAGGTCTATTTTCCACAAACTGCACTAGTGTTCACATTTGGCCATATTGAGTATCTGTGCCAAGTTTGGCCTAGATACATCATTGTTTAAGTCCACAGTGCTTTCTGGATGCAGGTAAACTACAACTCCCAAACGTAAGGTCAATGCCCACTAAACCCTTCCAGTATTTTCTGTTGATCATAGCAGTTCTGTGTGCCAAGTTTGGTTCAATTCAATCATTGGTGGAGTTCAGAATGCTCTTTGATTGTAGGTGAACTATAAAACCCAGCAACTACAACTCCCAAATGACAAAATCAATCCCCCCCCCCAAACCCACCAGTATTGAAATTTGAGCATATCTGGTATTTGTGCCAGATGTGGATCAGTGAATGAAAATACATCCTGCATATCAGATTTTTACATTATGATTCATAACAGTAGCAAAATTACAGTTATGAATAGCAATGAAAATAATTTTATGGTTGGGGGTCACCACAACATGAGGAACTGCATTAAGGGGTCGCAGCATTAAGGAGGTTGAGAACCACTGTTKTAGATGTATATATGTGACTCCACATCACCTTTTACAAAACAGCAATATGTTTCAAAGTAGAAGAGAGGGAAATGAGTAAAACACCAGATCTAATTGGGTAACCAGTAAGCTCATTGAATTAAACTAAATATAGCCTACAAATACATTCTTTTAGATTTTTAAAATATTTTTATAAAATATATTATATTTTATATTCCAATTTACCCAATGAATTAAGTGGAGCTGAGATAAGCAGCTCTCAAGCACTGAACCAATTTAATGGAAATCTAGACAACAAAACCTTAAAAAACAATAACTTTCAGCCATGGAGGTCACCATCTTCCCATTTGGGTGCTTGACTTCTCTTGGGGGTGCATTTCCAAGTGACCTACTTCGGTAAGAGAGGTGACAGCCAACTCATTGCCTAATTGATTTAGAAACAGTGCCCTGGGAGACAGTCCAATTAAGTTTAGAAGCTTGCAATTAGCAGAAAGGCCACTAAATCCCTCTAGTGAGAGTCTGTTTGTTTCAGCAAGAACACAAATGTGCTAGAGATAGGAAAAGGAAAGCCACGCTTTCTGGAAAGCTGCAGTGAGTAGAAGTCGCAAGGGAGCACTAAAGAAAAGCAAGGGAGATGTAGGAAGAGTGCCTTCTGTTTGACAGGTAACTGGGTAATTTAGAGCCATTTAAAAATAGACATGCAAGAACACATCAAAGAACGGCTTTAATTAGCATTCCATGTAGATGTCTACAACTGTTAAAACACACTACTGGACAAGATAGAACTCATTTGCTTCACAGTAATGATTACCGACAACCCCCCCTCCCCAATTTAAGACATTATCTGAGTAACAAGTGACTAAATGTTCAAATATGCTTGGGTGTTAAGCATATTGCTAATTTGAAATTGGAGTGTGCTTATCTCCAAGTTGTTAATACTAACTAATTTGGGCATTTTACAAAAATTACAATTCCATAATTTTATCTGCTAATAGAAATTTTGCTAATGATTAAATAGTTCATCTATAGAATACATAGCTCATATTTAGTCATTTGGTTCAACACTATTAACAATGCTTTTAGTTTTTTTCATTTCTACGTTGTAATTTTTTTTGTTTACTAACTTCATTTGTATAAAAAAGAAGAGAACAAGTTTCTGTTAATACAATAAAAGTTACAATGAGAGCAGCTAGTTACAGAAGAGAAATACTTCTGCCATGAGAAATACTTCTGCCATGAACAAATGCATCAACTTACCAGTTTTAAAATGAAGTACTCCAATGGGTCCTTTGTGAAATCTCAGTAATAGAAGATTGTGTATATCAGTACCACCCATGGTCTCATATGAAACTTGAGAGGCAGCCCACTGAATCTGGGAAAGACTACTTGATACATTAAAATGTTCACTAAATTGTAGAGTTGATTTGGGGGAGAAGTCTTCAGCTAAAAGCTGCAATTTAATTGGAGACAGTGCTATGTCAAATATCTGTAGCTCCCCTTGTGAACTGCCAACCAAGACTACAGCTCCATTGGGGTGGCAACACATGAAAGCGGGCAGTACTTCTGCTTGTACCAAGAGGGTTAATTGACGATAGTCCTCATACAGAACAATGGAAGAATCTTCACACCCGAGAACAAGTTTGTCTTCTGTAATGTTCCTGCAACAGCTGATAGCCTTTGAAACTAGTGGTATTTTAGTGACCGCCACACACTGAACTTTATCCCGAACACATTCATAAATGCAGCTGTCTGCCATAGGTTCTTGATCTGCACTTAAAGAGTGTTCTACGGTACGAATCTGGTGAGGGTGAGATGAACTAAAGGTGACGTCAAGCGGATCCCCAGATGTGCGTATATAACTGAAAATCTGAAAAAAAACAAGTTTTATAAATCACTAGCTCTGATTTTAAGTGGGTCAAAATAATATATTATAACAACAACAACAACAACAACGCCCCATTGGGTGCCGCCTTGTCGTTGGCGGGAGGCTTAACTGCTTCTATGATGTTGAGAGCTATGCTGGCGGTAGCATAAACTACCAACCATTTCAACCAAGCCAGAGTGATCTCAACTGAGAAGTAGAACAAAATGAACCCAACCCATTTTAATATGGTGAAACAAACTCTTAAGAAGTCTATACTGGCTCAGTCGTCGACAACTGGGCTACAGGAACCAGGACCCACTSCTGGGCAACCAGGGCATGGGCCTGTAGGGCAACTGGAAGCAAAACAACTACAGAAGCGGCAGAAATTTTCAATACCACAAAACAAATCAAAGTATGGATTGTCGATGTTACAATCCCAGGTGACAGCAGGATTGAAGAGAAGCAAYTGGAAAAGATGACATGATATGAGGATTTAAAGATYGAACTACAAAGACTGTGGCACAAACCAGTAAAGGTGRTCCCAGTGGTGATCGGCACACTGGATGCAGTGCCTAAAGACCTTGGCCTGCACTTAAACACAATTGGCACTGACAAGATTACCATCTGCCAGCTGCAGAAGGCCACCTTACTGGGATCTGCACACATTATTCGCCGATACATCACACAGTCCTAGACACTTGGGAAGTGCCCGACGTGTGATCCAATACAACAGCCAGCAGAGTGTCTGCTGTGGACWCATCTTGTGGTGTTTCAAATAATAATAATAATAATAATAATAATAATAACAATAAACTTTATTTATACCCCRCCACCATCTCCCCAAGGRGACTCGGGGTAGCTTACATGAGGCCACGCCCATCAATACAATAATAATAATAATAATAATAATAATAATAATAATAATTTATTTCTAACCTGCCCTCTYTCCCCAAAGGGACACATGGYGGCTCCCAAGTACAAAGGCAAATATTCAATGCCATATACAATCATAAAAACAAAGACAAATATTCAATGCCATATGCATAAAAACACAGCACAATAAAATACAATACAATAATACTAATACATTTTGTAAAATGTATTCCTTTGTTTATCTACAAAGGAATAACAAAATAATTGAAAGAAATAAGACGTGTTGTTGCCTTCCAGACCTTTGTAACATTTGATTTACACCGGACTTATGCTATATTTTTAACTGCTGAACACGGTTGCCTCATAAATTTTAATGTAATAAAAATGTTATCATTACCAATTCAAAAAGTCATCAAGTTAGCAGTGAATGGTCATTACCAATTCAAGAAGTCATCAATTCAAAAACTTTCCTCCTAGAGTTTTAGATATATCAAATGCATTATCTGCTTTAGAAAGAACCAAAGTACACACTATAGCCAACAAAGGGAAATGTATTCACTCGATAGTCACTGTCATGGAATTAGAAAGCATCTCCTTCTTATTGTAGTCCACTGTGCATGAAAACAAATGCTCAGAAGGAGTAGGACTGGGGTCCTCAAACTTTTTAAGCTGAGGACCAGTTTATGGTCCCTCAGATTGTTGTTGCTGTTATTTTTGTTGTATGCCTTCAAGTTGTTTCAGGCTTACGGTGATCCTAAGTCTCAAGTTTATGGAGGGCCTTAGTTTGGGGACTCCTAGTGTAGGAAGTACTCTGGAATTAATTTTTGTATGGTGCAGAAGTGAGAGGAGCCCTCTTGTCCTTTTCTGAATGTAGCATTTGTTAGATTTTCTTGGTGAGTCTATACATTGTTTGTATATTGTGTTTCCTCATCAGCTTCCCTATGCGGCCAGTGGTTTCCTTGATGTATAGCAAGATGGGCAGCGATGGGCAGCGTGAGCCTGCCAAGCGAGGAGCAGCACTGTGCAGCCTACACTCGCGTAAAGCACCTCGCAAGGTGCTTTATGCTAGAGTAGGCAACGCGGAGCAGCCACCCTTGGCTGACTCACGCTGCCCATCAGGCCTGACCGATAGCGTGAGCCAGCCAAGGGAGGGGCACTGTGTGTGTGTGTGTGTGGGGGGGGGCGCTCCTCCTCCGCCGGAAGTGGCCCGCGGGCCGTAGTTTGAAGACCCCTGGTGTAGACTCATATAATCTAGTTCAAAGTAGATAATGTAGATTATATGGCAATGTAGAAGGGGCTTCAGAGGAAGGCAAAGGTAATCCCCTTCTGAACAAATCTTGACAAAGAAAACCCTTATTACAGTATGTTTTTTTCCATACACCATTTCAATGACAAAAGGCACAAAGCAGGAGCAACAAATCAGCCATGTTATAAAACAAAGCTCAATGTCAGGAGAAAATGCCTCTAGAACATGGCCATATAGCCCGAAAAAACCTACAACAACCCAAAGCTCATCTTGCTATACATTTATTTTAAAATATTTGTATTTTCTGCTCATATCAGGCAAACATTTCAAAATAAAACATACACAACCTTCATTGTTCTTTATGTTGTTCTGAAGGGGGGAAAAGAGGACTAAGAACTTCTCGAACTATTTTACAGACAAGCCCAATTTTTTATCTATTTACTCCTTCCTGTTTTAAATGGAGATAGCTATTTAGAATTTGTTTTCCCTCTTTGTGTGAAACTCAAGTAGAGCAATTGCAACATTTTTTAAAGTTCTATTCTTCAATTCTACTGTATTTGTACGTGATATAAGAGCTCACAAATAACACTTTGTGTATATGAGCAATCTACCACCCAGTCTGAACTGCGAGGTGTCCATCGTGCATCCTTTAAATCTTCATTCTCTTTCAGTTTATAAACAGCAGCAAATGATTAGCAGAGGAAGCTATAAGTGAGAAGCCTGTGTTTTAAGTCACTGAATGCAGCACACATCTTTTCTTTTTCATGCCCATCTTGTAGCCAGAATATAAATATGGTTAAATAGAAATGAAACAATTGAGAAACTAGCAGTATGCAAATAAGTGGTAGATAGCGATATCAAAAAACATGCAGTCTAATTTAATTAATTTTCAAAATGAATGGTGATACGATAGAAATATTGTACATTTTAACTTTAGTAGCCTAATCTAGCTCATCAAGAAAAAGAGGTGCACTGACTATTTATTCTACTCCAAGGGGGAAAAGGTATAGAAAAAGAAAAGGAATCATTAGAAGCTTAACTAATCTTGTTAATAAAGCATTTGTTTGCTTATAGGTGCTCTTTTATCATATTGTTTGGTATCAAACTACTAACCCTGACTCTTATTTCAATGGGCGCTTATATGCACAATTTAAGGCACATAAATAATTGCATAATTATGCAGGAGAGTACAGAGAAAAGGATAAATAAAGCCTACATACAGAAGTAAGTACCTTTTGAACAGTAGATTTTAAGCAGAAAATTGGCTTACCAGGAAGATTAAAAAGGACAATAAAGGCACTATAAAAATAAGTGTACTGTGACTGAATTGTCTGTCTTTAAGATGAGAAAACTGTTTGATTTACTTTCTAGGTGTTAAAAAAAACACTTGTTTAATTTCGCACCATGAAACTGCAATGAACAAACAAATTAGAAATGCTGAGTGAGAATTTCAAGACATGGGAGCTGTTATATCCACTTTTGAAGAAATGTGCATTTGTTTTCCCATCATGGATGTAAGACTCAAGGCACTACCTGCAAGTTTTCTTCATTTGTTTACAAATTGCATTTCTAATTTCTTTGTTATTAGCATCTTCATTATTGTCATTTCATTTCCATTTTATCTGAAAATCATCACTGCCATTTATTTATTTTAATGTGATAGCAAGCTTTTTTTGCTTTATAATTCCTTTGAGCTACTTCATCTACTCAGTCCCAAGTTACTTACTCTCCACCTAGAATAACACAGTATTTATGACTGTAATAAGATCAACATAGTTCTTATCCTGACCTTCAGTTCTAAAGAATTAAAACACAGAAGTTAAAAGTCTGTTGTGCTACTACGGTGCATCTAACCTGACGTAATAATGCCAGCGCCATCGACATAGCAGGAACATGGCAGCAATGGAAGTAAAATGTGTTGTCGAAGAATTTCATGGCTGGAATCACTGGGTTGCTGTGAGTTTTTCAGGCTGTATGGCCATGTTCCAGTAGCTTCCCTATGCGGTCAGTGGTTCCCTTAATGTTTATTTATTTACAGTATTTATATACCGCTTTGCTCACCCCGAGGGGGACCCAAAGCAGTTTACACATAGATAATGGCAAAAATTCAATGCCTTACAACTACAATAGTAAAATCACAGTATAAACATAAAACATATTAAAAACAGTACATTGTCAAATATCAAAACAGTTATTAAAACCATAAAACAATCTCATCAGTCGAGTCAAATGTACGGTAAGAACACTTTTTCTCTAGGTGGATATTTGTCCACAGTAGTGTTGTTGATGTGGTCCAGGAACTTGTTTAGATCTTCTTTTGGAGCCATGGAGAAGAAGAACTAAACAAGTTCCTAGACCACATCAACAACATCCACCCAAACATCCAATTTATCATGGGGGAAAAAGAAGGAAAACTATAATTTCTAGATGTCCTAGTCATCTGCAAACCAAATCAACAATTAGACTGCATACTATGCTAAAAACTCCAACCATCACCCAGGTTAAAAAAGGAAGCATAATTAAAGCCCAGACAGATCATGCAAACAGGATCTGCGAACACCACTCCAAGGTGGACTAAACCTTCTAAACTTGGCTCTACAGGACAATGGATACTCCACTACAGAAATCAGAAGAGCTGCAAGACTAAGAACAAGCCATGAGAGCAAAAGACTAAGATCCTTCTAGAGCAGGCATGGGTAAACGTTGACCCTTCAGGTGTTTTGGACTTCAACTCCCATTTTATAACAAAGAAAATACCTGATGTATGTAAATCATAAACCAAATGATAATTAAAAACATATCATAAAACCAGAATTGAAAACAATATAAAAGTAATAGTGCTCATTCCCAAACTATCCCACATTCTTACAATTTAGACTAAACCCATGGGCAGCACATTATTTATTATTATTATTATTATTATTATTATTATTATTATTATTGACACAAAAGCACAGTATGTCACAGCAAATGAGATCTATATGCTGGATCTCGTATCACAAAATCACAAGTCGAACACTTCCCAAGCATCTAGGACTGTGTGATGTATTTTCTAATTATGCGCACAGATCCAAGTAAGGCGGCCTTTTGCAGTTGACAGATCGTGATTTTGTCGATGTTTGTTGTTTTCAAATGCTGGCTGAGATCTTTTGACACGGCACCCAGTGCGCCAATGACCACTGGGACCACCTGTACCGGTTTATGCCATTTGCAGTTCGATTTTGAGGTATGGTGTATTATTATTATTATTATTAACTACATTTCTATACCACCATTCTCAGCCCGAAAAGATAAAAATACTGGCAGCAAGTGAATTTATAGGAGTGAAGGTAAAACCCTTCCTCCTCAAAGACTTGAAAAATGGTTGGCATTCATATTTTAGCCCAGGATATGTTCAATGCAGTGGTTACACAACTGCTCTGCCATTTTAAGAACTTGTACAGTACCACTGACTTTTGGACTTTGCTTCCTATACATTTTCCATTTGTGTTGAATCTTTCAGATCACAAAACCATAGTTGGAAGAGACTACATGGACCATATAGTCCAGGTATCCTCAAACGGCAGTCCTCCAGCTGTTTTGGCTTCCAGCTCCCAGAATTCCTGACCATGGAACAAGCTGGCTAGGGCTTCTGGGAGTTGGAGGCCCAAACAGCTGGAGAGCCACAGTTTGAGGATGCCTAATCTAGTCCAATCCCTTGCCATGCAGGAAATGCACAAAGCCCCCCCCCCCAACAGATGGCCAAGAAAGGATCTTCTCCCACACTCTGATGCAGACAGTTCCACAGTTGAACAGCTTTTACAGTCAGGAAGTTCTTCCCAATGTTCAGGTGGAATCTCCTTCCTGTAATTTGAACCCACGGCTCTGAGTCCTAGTCTCCAAGGAAGCAGAAAACAAGCCTGCTCCCTCTTCCTTATGATAGCCTTTCAAATATTTAAACATGGCTATCATGGCTCCTCTCAACTTTCTTTTCTGCAGGGTAAATATATCCTGCTCTTTAAAGCCACTCCTCACAGTGATTCATGGTCTCCAGATTTTTGATCCTTTTAGTCATCCTCTTCTGGACACCTTCCAGCTTCTCAATATTGCCTTTAAATTGTGGTGCCCAGAATTGGATACAGTATTATTCTAGGTGAGGTCTGACCAAAGCAGAATAGAGAGAAACCATGATTTACTTAGATCTAGAAACTAGACTCTTTTTAATGCAACCCAGATTGTAAGTCTATGAGAAGGAATTATTTTTTATTTATATAAGCCATGATGGGAGTCTTTTCAGCTAACAAAAGGGTAAATGTGATTTAAATATATGAATAAATAAATATCTAATTTTCATAGGTACAAGACACTATTCAATGGCATTTACCCACATTCAACCTACAGTATTACCTCCAAGTTGCCACGTTCATGTTTCAAGAGCAGTAAGTTGGCTCTCTCTCTCTCACTAGAGGCCGGAGTCCATGGCCACATTTCAACCTTCGTCGATGACCACCAACAAATAACCATATCTTGTACACTATTTACTGCCAAACGACGTTTCAGTCTTTTACTTCCAAGACCTGGTATATCAACATAAGATATCTGAGGAAAAATAATGCAGAATATGTTCAAAAATTAGGAAAGCAAAGCCATTAAGCAAAATGACTATACCAAATACATCTAACTATAGATTATCTAAACACTAGTTCACTAGTGGTCTGTAATACTTTCATCTGCCTAACAGGTTCTTTATTTCCCAGGTGAGTCTTGGTTTTCAACTGTAGCAGGATTTGGAACAGAAATGGAGAATCCTTCTTATATAAGAATAGGTCAACAGGTGGCATGGTCTGGAACAGTTCAGTCTGATCCAAATTTGACAACCACTGCTTGTCAACCCCAGTGCTCTATATCTGAAACAAACAGCAGTAACAGGTTTCTGTTGTGTTGCTGTGTTACCTTAATTATACATAAGGGGAGAGAGATCTGAAGAATAAGAGAATAAGAATAAGAGATATAAAAAATACTAAGAAAATCAATGAATTATATAAATAAGCAGTGAGAAAATCAATGAATTCATCATCTTGCGTCATTTGCATTTTGAAAAACAAGCATAAAATATAACACCACATATCCACTTACCACCATAACATATTTGAGTTCAAAACAAAGAGTACTTCCTATTTGTCTAGAAAGCATTTACATTATGGAAGCACTGGTAATAGCTCTATATTGATGAACAGAAGAACCCAAATTTGACAAACATCTTTTAAAATGTAGTGTTTTCATATTTACTGGCTTGATTTTTTGTTTTGTTCTGTTCTGTTCTGATTGTTTGTTTTGTTCTGTTAGAAATGTAATACAATTGTCTGGTGCTGCCCCTGACACAATAAATAAATAAATAAATAAATAAATAAATAAATACTGGCTTGATTCAGAACAAACTAAAAGTCAATATTTTTTTAAACTGAAACCTTTAGAAGCTTGGCTTGTATGTTGTTCATGTCTAAAATAACAAAAATGAAATCAACACATATGATTCATTTTAAAATTCTAGGTTGAGGAGTAGACAGATCATCTGATACAGGCATCCTCAAACTGCAGCCCTCCAGCTGTTTGGGCCTTCAACTCCCAGAATTCCTGACAATTGAACAAGCTCGTTAGGGCTTCTGGGAGTTGGAGGCCCAAACAGCTGGAGGGCTGCAGTTTGAGGGTGCTTGATCTAATACATCAGCATATGCCAGGAAGTTTAAAATCAGGTCACTATACTCTTAATTTTGTCTCATGTAGTTATCTATCTATCTATCTATCTATCTATCTATCTATCTATCTATCTATCTATAAATGCTCTGTTTGTTTTGAGTGACATCCTACTCAAAATCTGCTGGATTAATTGCTGCCAAATTTGACCACAAGACACCTACTAACTCAAGGAGTGACCATCATTTGGGAGTTGTAGTTGCTGGGATTTATAGTTAACCTACAATCAAAGAGCATTCTGAACTCCACCAATGATGGAATTGAACCAAACTTGGCACACAGGACTCCCATGACCAATAGAAAACACTAGAAGGGTTTGGTGGGCATTGACCTTGAGTTTTGGAGTTGTAGTTCACCTACATCCAGAGAGCACTGTGGACTCAAACAATGAAGGATCTAGACCAAACTTGGTACGGATATCAATATGCCCAAATATGAACACAGATGGAGTTTGGGGAAAATAGACCTTGACATTTGGGAGTTGTAGTTACCGGGATTTAAAGAGCATTCTAAACCCCACCAACGATAGAATTGGGTCAAACATCCCACCCAGAACTCCCATGACCAACAGAAAATACTGTGTTTCCTGGTGGTCTTTGGTGACCCTTATGACACCCACTTGCGACCCCACATGGGTCCCAACCCACAGGTTGAGAAATGCTGCCTTAAGGTCATCCAGTCTAACTCCCTTTACCAGGGCAAGAAAACATAATCAAAGCCCTCCTGACAAAGAACCAGTCAGCCATAGATATATATACGATTCACACATAGACGTGTGTGTGTGTGTGTGTTGTGTGTGTGTGTGTATAGTCGTGTCAGGAGTGACTTGAGAAACTGCAAGTCGCTTCTGGTGTGAGAGAATTGGTCGTCTGCAAGGACGTTGCCCAGGTGACGCCTGGATGATCGTTTTTTATCATCCTTGTGGGAGGCTTCTCTCATGTCCCCGCATGAGGAGCTGGAGCTGATAGAGGGAGCTCATCCACCTCTCCTTGGATTCAAACCTGCGACCTGTCGGTCTTCAGTCCTGCCGGCACAGGGGTTTAACCCACAGTGCCACCAGGGGCTCCCGGTGTATATGACAGATATGGTATCATAGATTTGAAAGGCACCCCGAAAGAAGGACAATGATATGTTACATGTTCCAGAGTGGACAAACCAGACAATCTCTACATCAACACGAACAAAGTAACTACAAGAAATGCTGTTTTCCCACAAACATAAAGAAATTACATATATTAGAAACCAACACTTTCTCATTATTTTATTTTCCAGATTACCAGACTGGGCCACAGCAATGTGTGGCAGGGGACGGCTAGTATTATTATATTATTACAACAAAACAATTAGCTGAATGTGTGTAGGTATGTATACTTTTTTAAAAAAAATTAAAAAATTGAAATCGGCTTTCAGTTTTAACTTTTTGGGAAGAACTCTGGCATAAATTGACTTGGCTAGTTGTTAATACATGCTTAATTTAATTGATTCAAGTGCATTATGAAAACATAGCTCAGATATGTTGAAGTAAATTTAGACCATGTAAGCAGAACCAGTTTCTTTCTCCCTTCCTTCCTTGAAATAAGGCAAAGCTTTGTTTTGGACCTCACTCCATTCAATCGATGCCCAGATGACTGGTCTTCTTTTTGTGGCTTGATAAACTCTCACTGCTCAAACTGAATACTACTGAAATCTAACTGTAAATGCTCTTACAAGCCCTTCCCTAACTGCCAGGGAAAGACAGACTACTGCACCAAGGTTTCTCATGGCAGACAAGTAAGTGCTACGTTTTTCAAAATGATGACATAAAAAGGTCAAAGCACATATGTAGGATTCAACCTTCAAATGTCAGAGACATGTTTTTAAAAGGAGAGACAGCTGCCCAATAAGTTTTAATAGAGAATGGGTAACTGTGGCACTGCAGATGTTTTTTGGCCTGCACCATTTCTGAAACGGTGAATGATTATGAAAGTTGTCGATCAAAAACACTGGTGGGTCATTGTCATGCACCTTGATACTAAACCAGCATCAACCAGTCAGTTCGGAATACTGCTAACACCTATACTGCTTGGTATATGAAGACAGCATTATCCTTTTCCAGTACAGATTTGTCCCATGTGTCTCTGAAGAAGCTTGTAAAATGGAGAAGACTCTTCTGCAGAACTGTCCCATGGACAAATTCCCAAGAATATTAATTTGACTGAGTATAATACTGTTTTGTTTGCTTTCTACCATGATGGAAGCTGGTAAAACTTAATGAGACAGATGCAAGAAATGTTTCAGCCACCTTTTTTTGGATGATGATGAAGAAGAAGTTTAGGATTGCATCTGGGAGAAATTGACAGGAAGACATAGAGCCCTGATAGCCTCAATCTAGAACGTTTTTAGTGAGGAACTAGCACAATTCCTCATGCAGATGAAGAGTGCTGAAATGTTCATGGACCAAATCCATTTGTTCTGATAAAGCAAGCTTGTTTTCTGATGCTCCAGAAACTGAATCACTAGTTTCAAATTACAAGAAAAGAGGTTCCACCAAAATGGAAAGAATAACTTCCTACTAGTATGAGCTGTTCGACAGTAGAATAGACCAGGGCTTCTTAAACTTTTCCCACTGCGACCCCTTTCTGCCCAATAAATTTTCACATCACCCCAGGTATATATCGTAAGTATAAAAATAGGTATACAATCAAACATTCACTGAAAATAAACCAGCATTTGCAAGGCTGAGTATCTTCAGCAGAGTAAACCCTACACATTGTTGCTAACCGGTGTGTATAAATGGGTGGTTTTCAGAAATATTTTACTATTGCCAAATTTTTCATGACCCCAGCATTGAGCTAAGGGGACCCCATTTGGGGTTGGGACCCAAATTGTAAGAAGCAGTGAAATAGATTCCCTCTAAAAATGGTGGACTCTCTTTCATTGGGGGTCTTTAAACATAGATTGAATGGCCACATCTGAAGTACTTTAACTGTGTATTCCTGCATGGGATGGGTCTGGTGGACCATTTATTTATGCCCTGTCTTTCTTCTGAAACAGAACCCAAAGTGGATCACATCAAAGTTAAACAAAATGTGCACTAAAACTTATTTGATATAAGGTGGGTTAAGTGATCCTTGGAGTCCCATCCAATTCAATTACTCTGTGATAATGAAAGATCCAACTAGAAATTCCTTGGTTTTCTCTGTAGAGGTTGTGAATTAAAATGCTTTCTTGATATCCTGCAGATATTGGCAAGATTGATTTTTAAAATATTTTTTTATCCCAAAAAAGATGTTCCATTAAAGTAGATATTTTCCCATGCAGGAATAAGTTATAGTGGTCCACTTATGGCTGATGAGTTAGAATTGGAAAAACAACAACAGAGCTATAGCATTATCATCATCATCATCATCATCATCATCATCATCATCATCATCATCATTATTTATACCCCGCTAACATCTCCCGAAGGACTCGGTGAGGCTTACAAGAGGCCAAGGCCAACACATCAATAAAACAACAGTACACACATGAGCCTTACAGCTTGCAGCATTCAAGTATCCATCTACTTCTCTTGTCAACTGGGCTTCATGATGAGTTTTGGTGTTATCTGCAATTACGAAGCCACAATAGTGGAGTCTGTGAGGTCCTTTAACACAAGCTGTTCTGTAACCTGTAAACATGTTCTAAGATGTGTTTTGTTGGTGAAACCAGGCAACTGATCTTAAATGCCAGAGTAGTTTACAATATAGGGAACAATGCTGCAGCACTGGTGGGTGAATGAACCACAAAAATATGGAATTGTCAACTGGTAAAGCTTTCTGCTTAAACTAAGACACCCCCCCCCTTACAGTGACCATTTAATGCAA